AAGGGTCAACAAATGCCCTTTCAGCTGCAACCCATCACTGGGAAACACCCATACACACTCATACACTATGGCCAGTGTAGTTGATCAGTTCCCCTATAGCGCATGTGTTTGGACTGTGGGGGAAACCGGAGCACCCGGAGGAAACCCACACCAAGAACATGCAAACTCCACACAGAAACACCAACTGACCCAGCCGAGACTCAAACCAGAGACCTTCTTGCTGTGAGGTGACAGTGCTGACCACTGCGCCAAAGGGAGAAAATTGAAATATATAAGTTCTGTAAGCTATTTCTCAGCTGTTTTTAAAGGGATAGTGAAATGAAAATGTACTCACTATTTACTCTCCCTCAAGTGCTTATAAACATTCATCAGTTTCTTTCTTTAGAACACAGGAGAAGATATTTTGAAGAATGCTGAAAACCTCCAAACATTGACTTACAGGCTTAGAGGTTTCCAACTTTCTTAACAAATCTTTCATTTGTGCTGATCTGAAGAGAAAGAAACTCACAGATGTCTGGAGCGGGTGAGAGCAGAAGACAGAATGGTCATGTTTGTGTAATTTATCTCTTTAATTTGATTGTCGTTGCCAATGCTTCATGGGATAACAGTTGTTCAGTTAAAACAGCTCAGTTTTGTATGTTTGTCTGATTTTCTGAAGCTTTTGTCAGAGATTGTATGTTGGGGTTTCCTCACCGCTTGCTTTGGTTCATTTCTTAGAACGCTTTAACCACAACTTTTGTTTTCTTGCAACTGGTTATGAGCAATGTGTTTGTGCTCTTCCGTCAGTTATTAGCGGTCTGAGTTCACTTGTTTCCGACTGTTAGCTCGGCTCGAATGATTCTGAATTCTCCAGAAATGAACAGTGGTGATGTCACGGTGACGCAGTTCCTCTTTCCTGTAAAGGACTGACCGGTAAAACTCCCTGTGCCGTTCAGAACAGCCCCGTCTGAAGCGCTGAAACCAACACGAGCATCAGTCATTGCTGGAACACATAAAGCTGTGTACAGAGCTGAGGTTTCTGCTGTCAGACGGTGATCTTTCTGTGTGATTGTTGATTAGAGCTGCTCAATGTAAGCACGACAGCAGAAACAGTACAGTTATCAGACTGACTGAACATATATGTGGAAATACGATGTCAAATCACCACTTTAGAGTTCTCACACTATGAAAAATACTGACGTGTTTGAACTATTCTATAGTGAAGTACTTGATGTACATCTGTTGTGGTGATTCTACAGTCGCTATGGTAACATGACAACTATAGTTACTGATCTTTTGTGATGATTCTACAGTTGCTATGGTAACATGACAACTATAGTTACTGAGATCTGTTGTGGTGATTCTACAGTTGCTATGGTAACATGACAACTATAGTTACTGATCTGTTGTGGTGATTCTACAGTTGCTATGGTAACACGACAAACATAGTAACTGATCTGTAGTATCTGATCTATACTAACTGAACTGATCGTCACGATTCTACAGTTGCTATTGTAACGCAAATATCATAGCAACATATTACATTATATTTTGTGGTGATTCTACAGTCGCTATGGTAACACGACAAATATAGTAACTGATCTGTAATATCTGATCTATAGCAACTGAACTGATTGTCATGATTCTACAGTTGCTATGGTAAGGCAGATATAGCAACATATTACTTTATATTTTGTGGTGATTCTACAGTTGCTATGGTAACATGACAAATAAAGTAACTGATCTGTTGTGGTGATTCTACAGTTGCTATAGTAACGCAAATATTACAGCAATATAAACAAATGAGCCAATACTGTAGTTTTCTACAACTTTAGGGAATATTATACTGTGGTAAAAGCAAAAGTACACCACAGTATTTATTATGTTTAATCGGTTCACAAACACTAGTGTAAGGACTGTCTGCTACTGCTTAAAGCGTCATCCATACTCACTATTAAACTCATGCCAGTGCATTATTGTCCACTTGTCATTGTAGATAAACGTTAACAAACAAAACTAATAACACTAAAACAGTATACACCAATGTCTTACAGACCAACACGGTCAAAATGTTTGAGCTCGTATCTGCCTCCAGCTGTAGATAATCAAGCTCTTCAATTACACAAGCATACGCCCTCCAGAGCTTATAACACGAATTACAGCTGAACAACAACAGTGGTGGCTCCTAATAACTATTTACAGTATATTTTCATCTGCTATATATTGCCCTCTTGTAGTTATACACATACACACTACTCTTTAATGCTGTTTAAAGCACTTATCTGTTCACCAATGCATAGTTTGTCTGCGCTACATTTGCTTATTGCTTACCTTGTTTCGTGATTTAGCAAAAATCCTTGTCTTTTGCATAATTTTTAGATATTAATTTCTTATATCAAGTCCTAAATAAATAAATAACAGTAACTAACTAAATAAATGTATTTATTTATTTAGGACTTGATATAAGAAATTACTTCCTAAAAATTATGCAAAAGACATGGATGTTTGCTAAATCATGAAACAAGTTAAGCAGTGTCGCTGGGGAAGTTGTATCAGAGTTCAGTCTTTGGCTCTATACTGACACCTAGCGCTCATGCGCAGAAGCACACGCTGAAACAGCTGATCTTTGGCAGGATTGGCAATATATAAAGTACACTACACCAACGACAAAAAAAAAAGCAAAACAGAGTAAAACAAATGTTGTAGTGGTGTGTATTCGGTGGAAACTATAAACAGTTTAATTTTAGTGAATCCTTAAATCAACAAAATGTAAAAATGTGATCTATTTAAAACTGAACATTATTCGTGTCTTTAATGCCCCTTTCCAGACATTCAGTGTGTCCTTAAGGAATAAAGAATTTAGATAAGGCTAATGTTCTTTAGGATGATCATATTAAAGCTGTATAATAATCAGAAATGTTTCTGAATAATAAAATCAGCTTATTTTCCAAACAAATCTGAATGTTTTGCACTTTTGAACTGCAGTTGCTGTTAAACGTCCTCAGTTAGGATAAAAACAAGTTTGTGGAAAGTCCCTACAGATGTGAAAGCAGAAGTGTGTGTTGTGTAGAGGCGTTTCACATTCCACACAGAAATCCACAGCTTTTTTAGCCCAGCAGTGATTGTTTATTTATCTAAATATATATATATATATATATATTCAGCTTTTATATTCATTTCAGTTCTATTATTTACTAATATGCAAATGTTTATATGGTGTATTTACAGTTTGTACAGCAACATCTTCTGTCTTTTCCTTTGTTCACCATAAAGTGGATCTAATTGAATTTACATTGTAAACCTTAAATACAAGTTAAAGAGTTATTATTTATTTCATGCTTTACTTTTTTATAACTTTATTTTTTTAGTTACTCCTTAAACCATTCAGCATAAATCTGCAGAAGTTTTGTGCAGAAATAGCAAAATCTGCATTGCGGGCATCTGTAAAACTCACAGAGTCAGATCATCTTTAAAGAGCTCATGCATGCGTCTTGCTTCTTATTTAAGGGTTTTGTGTTTTGTTTTCAGGAATAATGTCAAAAATCAAAAGTTTTTACTTAATAGCAAAATAAATAACTGTAGTAGAAAGAAAAAATACAATAAAATGCATGGATTATGCATGAGCAACTGTTTTAAGAACATCTTTAAACTTATCTTGCATGAATATGACTAGAAGACAGCTGAAATGAAAGAAAGAAAGAAAGAAAGAAAGAAATACGGACAAATGAATGGTTAGATGGATGAAAGGATGCATGGACAAATAAATGGATGGCTGGATGGATAGATGTAAAACAGACAGACAGAAATATAGATAATAGATAGATAGATGTCCAGAACAGTGTTTGTGTGGGTCTGAGAGTCCGTCGCTGCTGTTTCTCTGTCTTCAGTCTGATCTTGGCAGATTTCCTCAGCATGGCATCTCTCAGTCAGTCTGTTTACTCCAGTGCCATGTGCTGTTTCTAATACAGCTACTCACATTTACCACACAGAGCGCGCCCAGTAACATCATAATAAACTGACTGACTGACTGCTGAGAGAGTCTGACTGACAGCAGATTACTGGTGCTTTAAACTCATTACTAATATCACATTTAAAAAGTTGATTATATTAAAAAAAAGAAAAAAGAGAAGAATCAGTGAATGCACACATTTTTCCATTGTGTAAATAACAATATAATCATGCAATCCATAATAAAGCAACTGTAGTCTGATTCTGAGTGCTTGACTTTCCCACTCTGATTGTGTAATCCAGATTACATATAATCCATGATCAGTGCGTGTACCTGCAGATCCAACATGCCGATTCCTGCCGACAGCATCAGTTTAACACAACAGAGCAGAACAGACGGCAGAGATGAGTGTGTTTCCTGAAGAAACTCCTCCTAATGTCAGACACACACACACAGAGAGAGAGAGAAAGTCGCTGAAGGTGCTCGAGGACGCAGCGGTGAGTTTCTGCATTTCCATCTTCTGTTTTCTGTGTCTACATCTGCTCTGAGGCTCTCCAGAGTCAGCGTTCCAGCAGGTTTTCATGCCGTTTCTCTGGAAAGAGTTCAGTCTGAGCATATTTTACTGAGATTGATCATTTAGTGAGGACGTGGCTCTCTCTCTCTCTCTCTCTCTCTCTCTCTCTCTCTCTCTCTCTCTCCTCATCTGGTTTTCATAAGGCGAACACACAGAGCAGCTCAATGAATCAGTCATGTTCTCTGCTGTTTAACGCTGCTCTTCAACAGTGATGATGTGACTGAGAAGAAGATTATTAATGTGAAAGACAGAGCCATGCTGGGTAGAAGAAACATGATGTTAGGAGATGATGAGATCACACTGAAGAGCAGAGAGAAGCAATGATGGAAGGACACATGGACGGATGGATGGATAGAAAAAAAGAAAGACAGAAAGAGACAGACAGAAGGATGGATGGATTGACGGATAGATAGATGGATGGATGGATAGATAGATAGATATATTTATTTTTAAGACTGTTTAATCTTCTTCTACAGTCATCATCATCATCAGTGGGACACACACACACACACACACACACTTCACCTCCTGTTGCATGATGGGAACATGATTTCTCACGCGTGGCTTTAATACGACAGGAACTTTTAACTTTTAAGAACGATTAGATCTGTGCTATATTTATATTTACAGATGTTCAGATCATTTCTGCCGAGACTGAGAGTTTATAAAGGTGTAGCAGGTGGTGTGTAATTGGCGGTTCATTCCGCTGTGGCAACCTCTGATAAATCAGGAATTAAGATGAAGGAAAATGAAGAGCCAAAAGAAAATGACACTGTCTAAAAAGATGAAAGTTTTGAACATGCTGAGTAAGAACACAAGGTTATATTGCTAAACAGGCATATTAAGGGATTTATATTGAGCGTGGGTTTCCTCCGGGTGCTCCGGTTTCCCCCACAGTCCAAACACATGCGCTATAGGGGAACTGATCAACTACACTGGCCGTAGTGTATGAGTGTGTGTGTAAATTAGTGTGTATGGGTGTGTGTGTTAATAAGTGTGTATGGGTGCTGGAATAGTTGGCGGTTCATTCCGCTGTGGCGACTCCTGATGAAAAAGCACTAAGATGAAGGAAAGTGAATGAATGAGTGTCCTAGAGTAACAAAGGGTTGATGATCTTGATTTGTTTCTGACTTTATGATGAGATATTCAGAAGCTGAAACGGCTCTGACCTCTGCTCTTCTTCTACAGGTGTTGTGATGTGGGCTGTGCTTCTGCTGTTGCTCCTCCCCCCTGAGGGGTCTGGCTCCTCCCCCTCCAGGCCTACGCCCAAATACTGCCGCAGGTGCTGCGATCACCTAGACCTGCCCTTAAGCCCTGCCTCCTCCCACTCTGCAGCCAATCAGATGCCAGAGATCCGGACAATCATTAACATGACCATACTTAAAGGCAAGACTTGTATGAAATGTAGTCAAAATACTGTGCGCTTTAAGAATGACGGCTTTAAAAAAAACATCTCAAAAAGATAATTGATTCTCCCCCATGATGTTGAGCAGATTCAGCAGTTGTTCACAGTGTTTCCTCTAATATTTGTTCTTCTGGAGAAAGTCTGATGTGTTTTATTTGTGCTAGAATAAAAGCAGTTTTTAATAGTTTTATGTTAAGCTCAATATTATTCTCCCCTTCAGCAATATTAGTGTTGGATTGTCTCCAGAACAAACCACTGTTATACAATGACTTGCCTAATTACCCTAACTTTACCCTAATTACCCTAGTGAAGCCTTTACATGTCACTGTAAGCTGAACACTAGTGTCTTGAAGAATATCTAGACTAATATTATGTGCTGTCATCATGGAGAAGAGGAAACACATCAGCTATTAGAGATGAGTTATGAACACTGTCATGATTAGAGATGTGTTGGAGACAAAAATATTAACATGAGGGTGAATAAAGCTGACTTCATATATCTGCAGTGAGTCTCAGTGTTGGTTTTGCTCTCAGCCTTCCTCAGATGAAGAGCAGCTTCTGTTTACTTGTTCTCTGGTTCACACACAGTGGACACAAATTGCTGTGGTCAAAAGCAGACAGATTCCTGAAACTGGCCACAAGACTGGCTATTGGTCACTGTGAAGTCACGTGACGTCTGTTTATTTCCTGTATGAGGGGTAATTTGACTAGTGCTGAGGAGTTGAGCAGTTTAATCTGCAAGTGAATACTCTAAACTCTTTCAGTTTCAGTCCATGACGCAGATGTGAAGTGTGTTTTTAAAAGTGTTCAGCAGTAAACATCATGTTTTGATCAGTTGGTGAAGTAATATGGGTTTGGATGACAACGCTGTGTATACTAGCATTAGTGTTCACTAACGAGTGCACTTAATCTCTGATTGAATGTAAATATTGAATTTAATGCAAACATGTTAAATGTACAGTGATTGCTGCAGGGAAGTTTTGGCCAGCAGGTGTCACTGTTTTTCCCATTAACCTCCAGTGACAGCAGGGTGTTTGAGTCCATCATGAAATCAATCAATGCATTTATACTATTGATATAATTTATTTAATATTTATTTACTATTTTTATACTAAAGCTGTTTAATATTTTATATTTATATATTTTTAATCAAAGATTTGCTCTAACATTGTAAATGAAGTGAGAAATAAGATCACGTTGCGGAGGCGGTGTGTCAATAACACGGACACGAGATGAGGCTGAGTTGATTTTGTGAACATGCACTGCAACATGTTTTGCCTCTTGGTGTTGAATCGCTGAATGTCTGCTCAACTGTACATTGCTTCAGACAGACTCTTCTGCTAAATGTCATGTATTAACTTCATTTGGTTGCTTGATCAGTTAATGGATTGATTGGCTGGTTGATTAACTTGATAGTTGGTGGATTGTTTGTTGATCAATTGATTGGTTGGTTGATTGGTTGATAAATTTTTTGCTTGGTTGATCAATCAATTGGTTGGTTGGCTGATTGATTGGTTGACTGATTAGCTGATATGTTGATTGGTTGACTGATAGATCAATTGGTTGGTTGATTGACTGATTGATTAATTCATTGGTTGCTTGATTGATTGTTTGGTTTGTTGATTGATTGATTGTTTGGTTGATTGACTGATGAATTGGTTGGTTGATTGATTGATAGGTTGATCAATTGATGGGTTGGTTGGTTGACTGATTGATCAGCTGGTTGGTTGGTTGATTGACAGATTGATTGGTTCATTGATTCATTGGTTGGTTAATTGTCTGGTTTGTTGATTGATTGATTGATTGTTTTAATTGATTGGTTGTTTGATTGATAGATAGACTGGTTAGTTAGTCATTGGTCGGCTGATTGATTGTTTGGTTTGTCGATTGGTTGATTACTTGATTGGTTGGCTGATTGATTGGTTGTTGATAGGTTGTTGATTGACTGACGGATAGATTTGTTGGTTGATTGATAGGTTGATGGGTCAGTTTGTTTACTGATTGATCATTTGGTTGGTTGGTTGATTGACAGATTGATTGATTGATTCATTGGTTGGCTGATTGATTGGTTGTTGATTGGTTGTTGATTGACTGACGGATAGATTGGTTGGTTGATTGATAGGTTGATGGGTCAGTTTGTTGACTGATTGATCATTTGGTTGGTTGGTTGATTGACAGATTAATTGATTGATTCATTGGTTTGTTGATTGATTGTTTAGTTTGTTCATTGGTTAATTGATCGATCAACAGGTGATAAAGGAGATCGAGGTGACCGAGGGACCCCTGGTAAATCCGGACAGGACGGATCCCCGGGATTCAGAGGTGTTACAGGGCCCAAAGGCAGTAAAGGAGGCCCCGGAGCCCCTGGAGACCCCTGCAAAGTCCAGCAGTCGTCCTTCTCGGTGGGCCGCCGCAAAGCTCTGCACAGCGCAGATTACTACCAGACGCTGATCTTCGACACGGTGTTCGTCAATCTGGGGGAACACTTCAACATGTTCAAAGGCAAGACCTCATTGTGCACTATACCAGCACCTGTGTGTGTGTGTGTGTGTTGCCTCTCCTGTCAGTCTCTGAATGCCTCCTCAACTGTGTGCCGGCTGTACTGTTGAGCATCTGCTAAATGACTGAACGTACAGTGAAGTCATGTAAACCGTGTTGTTTTCCTCCATCATAGGCAAGTTCTTCTGCGTGGTTCCCGGCGTCTACTTCTTCAACCTGAACATCCACACCTGGAACCTGAAGGAGACGTACCTGCACGTGATGCAGAACGAGCGGCCGCAGGTGATCCTGTACGCGCAGCCCAGCGAGCGCTCCATCATGCAGAGCCAGAGCATCATGCTGCCGCTGGAGACCCACGACACCGTCTGGGTGCGGCTCTACAAACGACAGCGCGACAACGCCATCTATAGCGACCACAGCGATGTCTACGTCACATTCAACGGTCACCTGGTGGCTCCCAAAGGCTGAAGAGCTGAGAGATTAGAGGAGGGACCGCCACTGGCAAATGTGTGTGTGAGTGTGTTCATTGTGTGTTGTGTTGTTTTAATCCTGTGTGTTCATTGTGTGTTGTGTTGATTCAATTCTGTGTGTGTGTGTTCACTGTGTTGTGTTGTTTAGATTCTGTGTGTGTGTGTGTGTGTGTGTGTATGATGTGTTGTTATAATTCAGGGTGTATCTGTTGTGTGTGTGTTATTTTAAGTGTGTGTATGTTCAGTTTATATATTTGTGTGTGTGTGTGTGTGTTTTCAGTTTCTGTGTATTCACTGTGCGTACATTGTGTGTATGTCTGATGAGTATGTGTGTGTTCTGATGTGGGTTTGTGTGTCTGATGTGTGTGTACATCTGTTGTATATATGTGTGTGTTCATTGTGTGTAGAGTATTTGCTTGTACGCACGTTTGTCTTTGTGTGTTCAATGTGTGTGTTATATTATTATATAAGTGTGTGCATTTTCAATGCATTTGTGTGTGTGTTGTGTGTGTTTTCACTGTGTCTGTGTGTCCTTGTTTGTTCATTGTATGAATGTTCTTTGTGTGTGTGTGTGTGTGTGTTTGTATTTGTACATGGGCTTGTCTTTGTTTGTGTGTGTGTGTGTGTGTGTGTGTATGCGTGTGTTTGGCTGCTGTGGAATGTGT